ATGTCTACTGTGAGGATTGGGAGATCCTGGAGTTCCAGCTGTTCAAGAATGTCATTGCCACATGACTGGAAATTCTGTTGGACTATGGTATGGGGCAGAATGACGGTACCACTACAAGAATTGAGAGAAAGATGTTTTTCAATAGTGATAGGAGTAGTATCTATATGCGAAAGGAGAGAAAGATCGTGAGCTTGGGTAGCATTCTGGACAGTGACGATGCGCGTACCGCTCTTGAGAGCATGAAATGAAATATCTCTACCAACATGACGCAGGAGCACTTTGCCAATACTATGGTCAGAAAGGTAGGCAGAAGAAGAAGTCGGTCTTAAAGTAAAGAATTTAGTCCATTGTGTGGTCCGAAACTGAGCGTGGAGAGGGAGTGCATGACGTGTCGGTCTTTTCCGAGTAGAATGGGAAGGTAATGGAGGAGATTGACGTTGGCGTTTAGGAGTAGGACTGGAGTTGGTCCGGCATGAAATGGGCGGGCGATTCGAAAATTGCCGACTGTAGAGGGGAGAAGCCGGGAAACATAGTCAAAGGGGAGCGGAGTTCAGACAAATCGAAGGAGTCAGTCGAAGCCCCGGTACCTGAAGCGGGTGAGGAAACAGCACCAGCAAGAGGTACACGGGCATCAGGAGTGTCCGAAGAGTGGTCTAAAAAAAAGGCAAGGTCAGAATGGGGTGCGGTATCAAGAAGGGGCCCGGGGTATGGGTTCATGGATTGGGTTCTCCATGGTTAGGTTACTCCTTTGCTTTTGTTTTTAAGAAAAAAAGAAAGAAGAAAAGAAAAAAAAAAATAAAAAAAGAATAAAAAAAGGGGGGAGCGGGGGCGAATAGTTCCAGGAGGAATGAAAGGGCCGGAAATCTCCCTCCGCGCCCAAGAGGACCTCAGCACGCTAGTAGCGCAGATGCAGCATGGAACCCGTGCCCTAAACCCCACCTTCATGCCAGTAAACCAGCAATCCGGATAGCAACCTCACAAACTGCCGAGCTACCTCGGTGGACAAAAGAGAGGGCAGCCGGATATCCACCACAAAGCATACCTCCTTCGGCCACCACCCCCGGAATCCGAAAGGTGGCTTCCAGAGATACACCCGTCGCCCGAAAGACACCCAAAGCTACTCCGGGATACCGGAGAGGGATCGGGACATCCCCAGGCGATCCAGATTCCACGGCAAACTACGCCACCGCCAAGAACCTCAACGGAATGGGATGGACCCCGGTATCCTTTCCCCTACCTAGGAACTAGCGCGCCTGTGGGAGAAATCCCAAAGGCCAAAAAGAGGGAGGGCAAAAGGTGGCTTCCAAAGATACACCTGTCGCCCGAAAGACACCCAAAGCTACTCCGGGATACCGGAGAGGGATTGGGACATCCCCAGGCGATCCAGATTCCACGGCAAACTACGCCACCGCCAAGAACCTCAATGGAATGGGATGGACCCCGGTATCCTTTCCCCTACCTAGGAACTAGCGCGCCTGTGGGAGAAATCCCAAAGGCCAAAAAGAGGAAGGGCAAAAGGGTGGGGAGGAGGAGGAGGAGGAAGGAAAAAGGGGAGGGGAGATTGGGGGGTAATTAGGTTCGGTCTGAGGAAGAAGACCGACAGGTCTAATTCCTCAGACCAAGAGCCTCTTCACCACGCCAAGGAGCCCCCTTGAAGAGGCTGACAGATGTAAATACTGAAGCATACAAATATGAATGCCATCAGGCCCAGCTGCTGATGATCAGCAAGCACAAAGTGTTGATTCTAGTTCTAGAAGTGTAAGAGGCACATTAGCATACGACTTCGCTGCTAGAAGAAAAGTTTAAGGGCAGTAACTCTGGCAGACTCGGAGGAAAGAAACGAGGGGCACAGATAAAGCCCTTTAGATATGGACAAGATTTCCAATCTCTATGGTAACTTCAAGAGGGTTCGCAGTGCTGACACCAGCAACCTGAAGAACGGGAGCCGGGTCTGGAGAGTACTTACCGCTTCAAACTGCACTCACAGAGGAACCTGAACTAATGGTACAAACAAAATCCTGCCAACAAGTGTGTTTAGCTTCACGGATGACATATCGGGTGACCGTTCTCTCCTGCTTAAAATCAAGGAGTTGCTCTGTGGTCCTATTGTAGCGATATTAGCCCCATTGTGATTGTGAAACCAATCAAAATCATCTGTATTTCTGTAATATATCTTCCATTTTATCAAATGAGACCAATCATAAATACCATACGAAAATACACTAGAAAGTCGCTGTTTTAAACCAAAAACGGTCGAAGTTTTTTTTTCTCATTATGCACAGCGTGCTTTAGGATCTTTTTTTTATACTGCGCACACTAACCACACAGATGCATTCTTTCATATGTAGGCCTGCCAGCTTTCTTCCACCTTGGCTGCAATGACGTACTTGTATGTGACCGACCCTCAAAGGGTTAACTACTCTTCTAATCATTTGGCAGTGGACTTACCATTGATGAGGTTTCTCCCTTCCTTGACATCCTTCACTGCAATATTCAGTGTGATGAACCTGCTATGTTAGTAATATTTTTTTTTTTACACATTAAAGTTATAATGGTAGGCTAAGATATATTACTGTAGTATTTTACAAGCTAACAGCTGTTACCTACCTGAACTCATTGAAGAGCCTTAACATCTTCCTTTAGTGGCTATATGTAGACTTGAAGCAATTTTTATATTACAATACATAGAAAAAAAAAAGTTTCTTCCAGTAATATACACCTTTCAACACAAGGTGCAATAATTCACAAAACTACGAAGCAATATAACCCTTTCAGGGTTTTTGATGTACTAATACATCTTACACGCCAGTGTTTGTGACATACTAGTATGCATAAATTCTAGCGCCCTCAAATCAAGTGGGAAAAGGCTGGTAGACCTAGATGTGAGAGAATGGGTCTGCATGGTCAGTGTGTGCAGTAGGAAAAAATCGGGGACCCAGTGGTGCATTGTGGGAATGCCATTTTAGTACCCCTTGTTTACCATGCCTCATGGTAAGAAACTCCTCACTCCTCGGTGAATTGGGACACTTTTGTTCCCCAGTGACAGTTCTAATACAGATGGGAGTGTCAGTGAAGATGACTTTCGAGGTTTCGAGGAGGTTGTGACCAAATCTAATGACCATAATACCGGTAATAGTGAGGAAAACCCAGATGACCCTCAACTTTCCACTGTACTGCACACATCTGTCATGTTCACTCGCAAAAAATCACTGAGTAAGGGGCTTGTGTACCAGTTATCAGTATATATGCCCCTTACCAAGATATGGTTCCATCATTGTTCTAACCACATCACCAGAGATACCCAATAACTTCCTGGTATCTTGCAATGTATTACTTCCAGTGTACACAATAATATCCAATACAAGACCACTGTAGCAATCACAAAGCACAAAACTTCATACCAAAGTGTTTCCTCTTGCTTGGTATATACTGCTTGAATGACAGTCTACCTTTGAACAGAATCAAAGACTCATCAATAACAAGCTTCCTGAAGGGATAAAAATACATATTGAATTTGTTTCAGATACACAAGCATTCCTAATCTTATACATATAACCTGCCGTTTGTGTCAGGCCTGGTTTTGTCTGAGAAGTGTAGCATATGCAATAGTAGCATAAATCGATTCACTGGTATTATATCAATGAAACCTGGGGTTGCAATCAGGAGGTCTGTTGACCAGTATGATTTAACATTGTGCTTATACACATGTTGCATAAGCATTATTGTTACAAAGAGAAGATACATCTCGGCCACAGTTGTCTCTTTCCACTGGTGTAGGCGTGATTTTGGTAAAAGTATTGTGTTTGCCGTGGTGTAATCGAAGTATCTGTTACTTTCCCTGATAATAATACCCATCAGGGGTTTGTCAAAAAATAACTCGAAACTTTCCAGTTCAGTGGCATTGTTCCTAAGTGTACAAGCTGGCCGTATTCCACTTTGACTTTAATCAAACTGATGGGGATTGGGAACAAAATTGTCAGCTTCCTGCCAATCCCAGGTGCGGTCTGCTGGCGGGTACTGGATAATGACAGGTGGTTGTGGAGGCTGGTGTGGTGGGTGGGTAAGGGTGGCCTTTGTTGTAGCTCAGCTGAGTCAGCAGCATGGTCCACTGCTGGTGCCTCATGGCTGGCACCACCACCACCAGATGCTTGCAAATTCCTCATCTCAATTGCAACAATATCATCTTCATTTTCACTAACTGTTCCTGTTGTACAGCCATGGGATGTACTCCTTTCCCTTGGAATAGCATATGGCACACTACCAGAGTACACATAGCGTCGTGTGTACTGACACTTCACTGGAGAATATTCCACTTCACTCTCGCTATTGGAACTGTTTACAAGAGCTTGGAGATCATATTCACTGTCATCACCACTACTCACACCCGAGTCCTGGACACAGGAAAATGCGAGTTTCCTCTTTCGTTCTGGTACAACTGGATGTGAACAAGACGGTCCAGCACCAGAGGTTGAAGGCTGAGGGTCATCTGGGTTTTCCTCACTATTACCGGTATTATGGTCATTAGTTTTGGTCACAACCTTTTCAAAACCTTGAAAGTCATTCACTGACACTCCCATCTGTATTAGAACTGTCACTGGGGAACAAAAGTGTCCCAATTAACCGAGGAGTGAGGAGTTTCTTACCGTGATGCATGGTCAACAAGGGGTACTAAAATGGCATTCCCACAATGCACCATTGGATCCCAGATTTTTTTCCTACTGTGCACATTGACCAAGCAGACCCATTCTCTCACATCTAGGCCTACCAGCCTTTTCCCGCTTGATTTTTGGGCGCTAGAATTTATGCGTACTAGTACATCACCAACACTTGCATGTAAGACATACTAGCATGTCAAAAATCCTGAAAGGGTTAAAAGGCAGCATTCTTGGATTGGTTTCTACAATTGATAAAGATCCACCAAGAATGACAACTTATTTTGTTCATGTGTGTTTTATTTATTCCCAAAAGAGGAAAAGTTCTTGAAAGTTTACAGATGGACGCAGAGAATCATAAGCTTATATTTAGCAACAGTGAAAATTGCATTATCACAGATAATCACATCCTTGAAAATTTGGCAGACCAATCCTACAATGGTTTAGATTTTCCCATGAGCATAAAATAGCCATAATTCTAATTTTCATTTTGAATCTACCTCTATATGCGATCAATGCACTTAAAATTATGGTGATACAGTAATACATTTTAGGCTAAATTTATTTCCTGAAAAAATTTTAAGGCAATGCAAATAAATGAATTTGACAAGTACTATGGAATATTCTTACTACATTACCAATTAAAGTGTCAAATATACCTCTGGATCAGATGCACCCTAATTACAGCCTCTCCTCACTTAACGACAGAGTTCGGTTCCTAAGACCACGTCAGTAAACGAATGTCACAAACAAGGAGCATACTATAATGGTAGTGGGTTTGTTCAACCATCTTTGATATTATTTTAATGTCCCAATTGCACCTTTTATATCATTTTTAATATACAGTGGTACCCCAAGTTTTGTACAGCTCCCAACTTGAACAATTATGTAAGAGTATTATTTTAAGTGCTTTTGTAAGTGTATTTTTGGGGGTCTGAAATGGACTAATCTAATTTACATTATTCCTTATGGGAACAAATTCGTTCGGTAACAGCACTCGAACAACATTCTGGAATGAATTATGGCCAAAACTCAGGGTACCACTGTATTTAATATATATTATTAAGGTATACATACCGATTAGAACCTGTCGTCAGTCCAAGTCGTCAGTAAACGAGTACGTTGCTAAGTGAGGAGAGGCTGTATATAGATACGATATTAATCCGTTCCAGGAGACAGTCTATCGCAAATCTATAGTAACTCAAACTGCAAAATATGTAGTTTTTATGGTAAGTCATTACAAGATATCAGAACACACCCAACCTGCCCTTGATACTTATCGCTATATAAACACACCAGGGCTTTCTGTGTGGTAAACAAGCACAGGCTTCAGCTTTAAATCTCAAGGCATTGGCACCCAACATCAAGTAAACCTATTTTTCACAGGCTTATGCCCAGGCAAAGTGGCAGGATATGGTAGAACATGCAAGACAGAGAAGAGCAGGTCACAGAAAGGGCAGGTAGGTCAGTGTTGGCAGGGCAGGGCAGACAGACCACTTCAAACAGGGTAGAAAAGGCAAGGGCCAGGACAGGGTGAGCAGGCATTGCAGGTAGGGCAAGCTGGGGCATGTAGAGCTGGCAGGGCAGAGAAGGCAGGTCAGGATAGCTTAGCAGGTAGGTCAGGACAGGCCAGGGAAGGCAAGCAGAAATTAATAAAGAATTGCAGACTTAATATTTACACTCTTCCTGTCACAGTCTCCCACTGCCCATGTCTGGTACATGTACTGTCTCCCCCTCTCACTCCACCCCCCCTCCCACTCACTTCCTCCACACCCTCCATCATCACTCCATTTAAGACCTTTTCATCACCCTGTCTTGACTCTGTACTGAGGCATACCCACATTCACCAACCATTATGCATATAGGCCAGTAGACCTGCTGCAGTGCTCCTCCTTTTTTTATACTCTTATAACATGTTAAATCTTTCACTGCAACTTGAAACTGAATTCCTTTGAGAGTAAATCATAACTCAAAATTACTGCGACTCAAGACCATTGCAACTCAAGGGACCACCGTATTCTTTCTTTCAACACACCGGCCGTATCCCAGAGTGGCCCAAAAGGAAAAACGAAAGTTTCTCCTTTTACATTTAGTAATATATACAGGAGAAGGGGTTACTAGCCCCTTGCTCCCAGCATTTCAGTCGCCTCTTACAACACGCATGGCTTACGGAGGAAGAATTCTGTTCCACTTTCCCATGGAGGTCTTCTTCTTTCAACAAACCAGCCGTATCCCACCGAGGCAGGGTAGCCCAAAAAGAAAAACAAAAGTTTCTCTTTTTAAATTTAGTAATTTATACAGGAGAAGGGGTTACTAGCCCCTTGCTCCCAGCATTTTAGTCGCCTCTTACAACACACATGGCTTACAGAGGAAGAATTCTGTTCCACTTCCCCATGGAGGTAAGAGGAAATAAATAAGAATAAGAACTAGAAAGAAAATAGGAGAAAACCCAGAGGGGTGTGTGTATATATATGCTTGTACATGTATGTGTAGTGTGACCTAAGTGTCAGTAGAAGTAGCAAGACATACCTGAAATCTTGCATGTTTATGAGACAGAAAAAAGGACACCAGCAATCCTACCATCATGTAAAACAATTACAGGCTTTCGTTTTACACTCACTTGGCAGGATGGTAATACCTCCCTGGGCGGTTGCTGTTTACCAACCTACTACCTAGGGGACCACTGTATATTATCATAAATAATGCTAATGCTACTGAAATTACATTATTCTATTACTAAGAACACAAGACAGTTAAACTGAAAGAGAAGTAGGGAATGAAAGGTTATGTAGTGTAGATATTTAAAGCACTGAATTTATCAGTATTGCTGCCTGTAAAAATGCTACTTTACTGCACTCTCATGTATAGATCATACAGTAATAAAAACAATTCACATGTATGGAAGGTGGTGATAAGTTGTGGAGGGTGGTGATGTGTGAGGATAAGTTGTGGAGGGTGGTGATGTGTGAGGATAAGTTGTGGAGTATGGCGATGTGTGAGGATAAGTTATGGAGGGTGGTGATGTGTGGTGATAAGTTATGGAGAGTGGTTAATTTTGGGAGCATACTGTTCACTTTGTTGTGAAAATTGGATATAATGCATACATAGCACATAAAATGAAAAATTACAGTAGCTCAAAGAATATGTTGTGGTGTTTAATGGCCCCTCACAAAAACCCTTTGACTCACTGTAACCTTAAAATCTTAAACTAACAGCTATAGTACTGGGTATAAAGAGTAGTGACACCCCTTGTGTCACTACTCTTAATACCCTATAACTACACCAACATTGCAAATGTCAGTAAAAGACTTGACTTTCACGATTTTAAATTGGAGATACCCTCGTCTTCCTTAGCTCAAATATGATTACTGCAACCTCTCTGATGCCCCTGGCACTGTATATGACCTTTATGGGTTAAGTTCTTCCCAATAACACTTTTGGCATAGGCCACATACAAAAATCACTTCTTATATTTTACAGGTTACAGTATAATGTTCATTCCAGCAGTCCAACTGAAAAATACTTTTGTTTTTGCCTAAGCCTGTGCTTGTGATGATGGCTGAGCAGATTCCTGAGCCTGGGACTGAGCTTGTGGTATTTGGTTAAATAGTCTGTCTTTTACAACCTGAGCCATAAGTCCATGCAGAGCCTCCATGGTAGTTTTGCAAGAATCTCGTGTCACTCGGCTCAATTTGTCTTCTGTTTTCTTTTCCTGGGGGTCTAATCCAAACAGTCCAGCACGCCCAAGGGCAGTTTCTGAATTTTCTAATTTGTCACTTAAGTCAAAGATCTGACGAGTCATGTACTCTGCATTCTGTTGATAGACAGATGCAACAATCTATTAGAATACAGTAAAAAAGTCATTACAAGAGCAGGATAATCTGGCTAAAATATGTTTTTTAACAATAACAGCATTCTTTGATACTATGACTTCCCCTTAAATGATGATTAACAAGCAACCAGTAATGTAATGAAAAACTTAAAATCTAGCTAATTTTCCAAGATTTGGGTTATCACATATACATGATAAATATACGTATAGAAAGACAAAAAGAGATCATACATACTCACACAAACAAACACCAGATATTATAGATCAACCTGAACCATGTAAAAACATTATGCTAATAGATTTCAATTATTAGGAAACAGACTGGAATACACATGAGGCTGAAACAGCAAGAAAATGGTCAACTCAATTCAGTATAATCTAACCATACCCCCGGCCGGGATTGAACCCACGGTCATAGAGTCTCAAAACTCCAGCCCGTCGCGTTAGCCACTAGACCAGCTAGCCACAATAAGATTCATCCAACTAGGTATATTTCTACACCATAGGAAGGTTAGCACAGGCACCACTGTGACCACAAATGCAAGTTTTTACAGACGAATCTCCAGCTAGCGTTGCCGTGATGAACTCTAGCTCAAGTCCCTTCACTGCCGTCAACATGACTCAAGAAATCGTGTCATTACGATTTCTTGAGTCAGTATAATCTATTTTTATGCACTGGCAACACAAGTGAGGGATATAAATGTACAATTAATTAATTGTTTGGTGTTCTGCTACCCAGAACGATGTAGGTTTTTAGGTGTACTTTGAGCTTTTGCAGAGTCTAATCGATGCGAGCCAATATAGAAACTCTTCGTCATCCTCAAGTAACCAGTCAGACAGCTCTTTCCCAAGCAGAGTGAGGAGCTGAGATGTAAGCAGTGCAGTTCTAGACCTGGGAGTGTGTTTTCAAAGCGTTCACAATCACTCAAAATTAAGAATAATGACTGGAATCACCTTCAAAAATTCATTAAAAAAACTATGAAAGAAATGACAAAAGTCACTAGGTCTTAGATGAGCCTTCCCACAGGGGTACTCCTTACCTATTACTTTTTAGTGATCTCTTGACAACTCTGCAATCAATGGCAACAAAGTTGATCCGAGTAGGTCCACAACAAATTGTTTTCTATCAAACCATGTTTAAGTTTCTGACAGTTTTTCCACTACTGTCAAGTTTGGGAGACCGCAATTTGCCATATATGCATTGGCCACATGCACCTCACTCACAGATACCTCTTAGAAAAATGCCCAGAACTGCTCTTCAAGAATTGTCGGTTTCACTGTCAGTTCAACACATCTCATTAATCCTTTCATTGTCCAGACCCCAAGAATTAATATTGTCTCAGTGTCGACTTTATTATTTTTTCTTCTGAAATGGTAGGGAATCTTTTTCTGAAGGTAATGACACCAAGAGTAAAAAATTTGATGAAAAACTTATAGAATTATGCAAGCACAAATTTAGCTGTCTAGGTGCAACTTATGCATTGGCAATTTTGCCCATTTTGAATCCTATTTTAAGCCAATTCCATTGCTCTATTCGAATGACTTCTTAGCTATTTCACTAGTATGCCTTCCATTCTATCGATTGAGCACAAGAAGCTACCCAATCAACTATAACAACTATCTATAAAGTGCACAGAAATTGGTAATTTGGCCAATTTTACACAAAATTAAAAATAGTTCAAAATAAACAATGTGGACATTCCTGTCCCTGAAACAACATTTCCTTTGTTCATTAATCATATCCCCAGGCCTCTCCTATATTACACTTGCCTTCCATTCTGAATTCATAATCACAAAAAAAATAGAAATAAAATATAACCAGGAATGATTGGTCATGGTTTGTTGTGTCCTAATAATTGAATCAGATCTATTAAAATCCCATACAACAGAGCAGGGGGTGTAAGGGGGCCTTACTTGTTCTCAGGAAAATTTGAAGAACTCTAATAATTCTGCTAATTTGAGCCCAACTAGTAATTCTGGTGATGTGTATTTATCATGTGTGGTAAGTCAACTATAATCTCGGACAATTCCTTCAGAGCAAGACAACTTCAAACATGAGTGACACACTCCTCATAACGTTTACACTGGTATCTGAGGGTGAAATCACACATAAATCACTGGTCTTGTCTCAGTGTATCCAATATCGCATTATAAGTACAACACCCTAGATCACTTTAGTGATCTGGATCATAGATTTGGATCAAAGAAGCTGGTCTTTTTAACCCTTAAATTGTGTTTGAAATACTAATACACAGGGAACCAAGCTGCATTCAATGAACTTGTATGTTAATATTTCTTCTTCTTTCTTTCAATGCACTGGTCATATCCCACTGAAGCAGGGTGGCCCAAAAAGAAAAACAAAAGCTTCTCTTTAAAAATTTAGTAATGTATACAAGAGAAAGGGGTTACTAGCCCCTTGCTCCTGGCATTTTAGTCGCCTCTTATGATACACATGGCTTACGGACAAAGAATTCTGTTCCACCTCTCCAAGGAGATAAGAGGAAATAAACAAGAACAAGAACTAGTAAGAAAAAGAGAAGAAAACCCAGAAGGGTGTGTGTGTGTGTGTATATCTTTCTTTCAACAAACCGGCTGTATCCCACCGAGGCAGGGTGGCCCGAAAACCCAAAGTTTCTCTTTTTAAATTTAGTAATTTATACAGGAGAAGGGGTTACTAGCCCCTTGCTCCTGGCATTTTAGTCGCCTCTTACAACACGCATAGCTTACAGAGGAAGAATTCTTTCCACTTACCCATGGAGATAAGAGGAAATAAACAAGAACTAGTAATAAAACAGAAGAAAACCCAGAGGGGTGTGTGTATATATATGCTTGTATATTCATGTGTAGTGTGGCCTAAGTGTAAGTTGAGGTAACAATACATACCTGAAATCTTGTATGTTTATGAGACAGGAAAAAGACACCAGCAATCCTACCATCATGTAAAACAACCACAGGCTTCCATTTTACATTCACTTGGCAGGACGGTAGTACCTCCCTGGGTGGTTGCTATCTACCAACCTACTACCTAGGATGTTAATATGTATTTTATTCCTTCAAATATGCCACCTGCTAATATTTTTAGCCTCAGCTCAACAGTTTGGGTTTCCTACAACATTCTCTTGTCTTTGAAAAAATCAAACACCAGGTGAGCCCACTCAGTGCATCTTGAAAAACACTACCTAACTAGCATAAGTAAATACTGAAACCAAGACATGTTCCACTTCCAGCTTTCCTGCCACCCAGGGAGGTACTACTGTCCTGCAAAGTGAGTGTAAAACAGAAGCCTGTAATTGTTTTACATGATGGTAGGATTGCTGGTGTCTTTTTCTGTCTTAAACGTGCAAGACATCGGCATATGCGGATATCAGCCAAATCAGATTTCGACCACTTTTTTGGCCAAAATTCTGTCCTGGATTTCGGGCGGCAACTCGAAAATTGGCTGTATTGGACACGTCTGCCCAACCATGTTCATGAATCAGTCTGGCTGTGTCTCTGGGTGAGTGAGCAACATTCCGCGTATTTATCCAAACATTTCGTTATAATCCATTGTTTTTTTGTGGTTGTTTATTGAGTGCGACTGCAAAATAAGCCACCATGGGCCCAAAGAAACACGTTACATAGTATGTACTGTATATAAAAACATGTAATGTTTATATGCGATATATATTTAATAATAATCACTCTTGGGCACACTAAATGTCTTATTTTAAGTTAATATAGACATTTTCATTAATCCATCTATATTTTATTCAAAATTATATAAGAAATACATTACATAGCATATAGCATATAAATATGCAATGTTATTGAGTGGCGAGTCGGGTGGAGAGTGAACATTATATTTTCTCTGATTCAGCATCAGAGAAAACTGTGAATCTTTCGTCTGGCGCAGTCACTGCCCTTCAAACACGTTTGTTTACAATTCTTGGCACGAATTATTCATTACTTCTCCCTTTGTTTATGATGGCATCTAAAGGTAGTTGTTAGAAACAATTAAACTCAGTGAACATGGTAATAATATGGCTGTGTAGTATAATAATATGGCTGTGTAGTGTAGCCCTGGGGGCTACATACATGTACCTACATCTACTGCTGCCTACACCGACTTCCTACAAATAAATACTACTCACCTCTCGCCCTACATTAAGACTACAAATATTTTAAGGTAAGTAATGAATGTACTTCTAGGTAGTAGGTTGGTAGACAGCAACCGCCCAGGGAGGTACTACCGTCCTGCCAAGTGAGTGTAAAACGAAAGACTGTAATTGTTTTACATGATGGTAGGATAGGTGGTGTCTTTTTTCTCTCTCATAAACATGCAAGGTTTCAGGTACGTCTTGCTACTTCTACTTACACTTAGGTCACACTACACATACATGTACAAGCATAGATATACACACCCCTCTGGGTTTTCTTCTATTTTCTTACTAGTTTTTGTTCTTGTTTATTTTCTCTTATCTCCATGGGGAAGTGGAACAGAATTCTTCCTCCGTAAGCCATGCGTGTTGTAGGAGGCGACTAAAATGCCGGGAGTAAGGGGCTAGTAACCTCTTCTCCTGTATATATTACTAAATGTAAAAGGAGAAACTTTCGTTTTTCCTTTCGGGCCACCCCGCCTTGGTGGGATACGGCCGGTGTGTTGAAAGAAAGAAAAAATGAATGTACTGTGGCAGTAAATAACAAAGAAGGGAAGTAACCCTAGAGAGGGTTTTGATACCTGAAGTCCTTATGGAGGGGGATTCCCAACTCTCTCTCCCCTCCTTGCCTTCTTCAATATGCCAACAAGTCTTCAATAAAGATATGTAATCTTCATTTATCATTAAAATTTGAGCTTTATATTTATTTCTCATTGATTTCTGTATGTAAAACCATTGTTAATCTTTAAAAATGTTTTTTTTTTTTTTCAACAAGTCGGCCGTCTCCCACTGAGGCAGGGTGACCCAAAAAAGAAAGAAAATCCCCAAAAAGAAAATACTTTCATC